AACTGGTTTAAGGGACTCTGAGCAAGTCTCTTGAATCTCTGAGCCTCAGTTCCCTCATTTATAAAATGAAAAGGTGAATAAGATTCCTTTTTGATTATAAGACATCTCGCTCTCTCTCATTGTAACCTGAGAGATGAGACAATTTCATGGAGGCAGTCAACGACTTCAGAAAGCATATGAGATCTTGCAGTAAGGTGGCCATTTAAAATAATTATGATGTTATAGTATATGGATTGCTTACTTCTGCTGTAACTGCTTCTTCAAAATTGTAACCTTAAAGAAACCTTTCTATTTTGAACTAATTTCAAAATTACAGAAAGACTGCAAAGAATATCTACTTTTTACCCAGAGTCACTTGTTATTAAAATTTTACCTTTTTATCATTTCTGTTTTCTCTCTCACTATATATATGTACGTGTATTTTTTGGAACCATATTATATATTACCTAAGTATATATTATCTTAGTATATGTTACCTAAGAATAGAGACATAACCACAGGACAGTTACCAATTTCAGTGACTTTAACATTGATGAAATATTTTAATCTAATTAATCTACCATCAGTTTTCCAATTAACTGAATAATGTTCTATATAGCATTTTTTTCTTCCTTCAGGGAAGAATCCAGTCTAGTATCTCATATTATATTTAGTTGTCATGGCTCTTCAGCTGGAATATTTTCACAGCCTTTGTCTTCTATGACACTGACATCTTTGAAGGATACGGAACCCCTGCCCCTTTTAAAAAACAAAACAGAACATTCCACACTTGGGATTTGTCTGATGTCTCCGCATTAGATTCCCCATTTCCTCATTAGATGCTGTGTCTTCAGGGAATCACATCTGGAGGCAAATAATGTCCATCTGTCCCTCATTTGTGATGTTAATTTTGATGACCTGGTGAGAGTTTTGTCCAATTTATCCAGTGTATGTATAGTTACTCCTTTCCTTTCAACAATAAGAAGTCTATGGAAAAATACTCTAAGATCATGCAAATATCTTGTTCCTCATCAACATTGCTTTCTATGTTTAGATATAATATGGTTTTTGCCTTACCCAATCTTTGCCCTAAATGGTTGCAACACGATGATTTTCTAACTTCAACAATCTCTCAACACTCTACCATAAGCAAGAGTATTTCCTTTTTCTCCATTTGTTTTTTCAAGTAATTATTAGTATGCATTTATGAATTCCTGTTTTTTTTTTTAATTCTAACCTATTTTAACATGTAGGATATATAAAAAGGAAACTACAGAGATGAACACTCGACCAAGATCCTTTCCTTTCATTAAATATAAAGAATACCTAAAAATGTTATAAAGGAAGTAGAATACAGTAATAATTCACTTACCTGGAAAAAAAGTTGTTTGGAAAATGTAATAATCTAAAATATATCAGAAAATATCAAAGCAGGTGAAATGTCTTTGAACTAAGTAAATGCTCCCAAAATATCAGAGTTGTTTCAGCCGTTTCTTATTTTATATGCTTATTTATTTATTTACTTATTTTGAGACAAGAGTTTTGCTCTTGTTGCCCAGGCCGGAGTGAAATAGTGAGGTCTACGTTCACTGCAATCTCATTAAGCAAATAAATACCTGTGGCTCAATACCCCACATAGAGTTGCCCCTGTGAGAAGCAGCTAACTGTAAATGTCAACTGTAAAATTAATATGGTACTCAGATTTGAATGGACTGTTGATTATCTTTGTTGCTGGTATCTTGAGACCTGTGGCACATCTCTCTTGATTGGGAATTAAGGCAGGCTCTCCTTGTACCATAGTGTCAATTTTCTGGAAAATGTCTGTCTAGCCCTTGGAAGTTCCCTTACCTGTCCTTTCCCTCAAAGTGAATTTTGGGTATGGGAACTTTGCCTCTATTTTAAATTGTAACATTGTAAACATAACCAACAAAGTTCTTCACAATGTCCAGCCACTATATATATTTGAAAAAAGAGATTAAAGGTTAGAGAAATAACAAAGGTATATGTTATTACTGAAATTCTTTTGGTTGTAATAGAATTAGGTGTTATTGAAAAAATAAGCCTTCTTACCATGCCAGTTTGATTTTGTTTTGACAGCTGTAATGAATTGTGCTGCTTGATGACTGGTTTATTGCAGTGGTGGTCTCTTTGAACTGTTTGTTCTATATCTAAATTAGTTCCTTGGCTTATCCCTTGGAAATAATTTTGATGGATAGTAATAAAACTATTACATAATGGTGATCTCTCTAAAATGACTTTTAAGCATATCGAATTCTTATTGATTCCTATTTTATATAATGGCATTTCTATTTTATACATTAGTACTTTTTGTTACACTAAGACTTTGCATAGTTCTTGTATTTTAGCAAAAGCAAATGGAATCCATAAAGCAATGTACAGGATTTAATTGTGATAAAAGTGCTCTGGTAAAGAAAATTTGGTGCTGGTCTTCTTTAAGCGTAAAAAGCCACTGCTTCAATTTATTTATCAATGAATGGGAAAGGACACTGATTTTATAAAAGATATTGAGGAAAAACGTTTTTCTATATTTTCATATACAAATTATTTTTTCTTTTTTTTTTTTTTTTTAGACAGAATCTCCCTGTTGCCTAGGCTGAAGTGCAGTGGTATGATCTTGGCTTACTGCAACCTCTGCCTCCCTGGTTCAAGTGATTCTCCTGCCTCAGCCTCCTGAGTAACTGGGATTACAGGCGCTCACAACCATGCCTGGCTAATTCTTATATTTTTAGTAGAGATCAGCTTCACCATGTTGGTCAGGCTGGTCTTGAACTCCTGACCTCACCTGATCTGCCCACCTCAGCCTCCCAAAGTGCTAGGATTACAAGTGTGAGCCACCTTGCCCGACTACATACAACTTCTTAATCTTATCAAGTTCACAAATTTGAACTTAACTCCTCCTCCTCCTCCTCCTCCTCCTTCTTCTTCTTTTTTTTGAGATGGAGTCTCGCTCTGTCGCCAGGTTGGAGTGCAGTGGCACAATCTTGGCTCACTGCAACCTCCGCCTCCGAGGTTCAAGTGATTCTCCTGCCTCAGACTCCTGAGTAGCTATGTTTACAGGCTCCTGCCACCACACACAGCTAATTTTGTACTTTTGGTAGAGATGGGGTTTCACCATGTTGGCCAAGATGGCCTTGATCTCTTGACCACGTGATCCACCTGCCTCGGCTTCCCAAAGTGCTGGGATTACAGACATGAGCCACCACACCCAGCCAACACAACTCATAAGGTTAATAAAAGTATTGTTTTATAAGTTATCAATGTGAGAAACAGATTTTGGGTAATTATTCAAACTCAAATTAAGTACGCATAATAATTTGGTATATCCATGGCCTTGCTCATGAGTCATATGGTTTTTTTCTCTTCAAAGTCCAAGTGAAAACTTCACTGCTTTTACAATAAACTGTGAAAATTATTGGCAGATGTAGGGACACTGGCTCATTTATATCTATGAAACCCTAATTCAAGTTTCAAGTAATTGTAAGACATTTAATATAGAATTCCGTTCCTCAGTTTTCCTATTTCTTAAAAGCAATTAATTATGTGTGATAATGGTATATATATTTGTTGTATGTATTATTGTTGGCATACAGCCAAAGACATTTTCCTTAATCTCTTAGTAACACTTAAAAAAGACTAAACATTTACCCAACTCAGTAACTGGAAGGGGTTTTTCCTCCAAGTGCTAATTCACTTTGTTGTTTCTTTGGGACTTGAAGCAATTAACATCCATGAGAAAACTTTCTGTATACATAATGCATTTCTCTCCTTTTTACCAATCATCTTCCTTTTTGTTTTCTTTTATGGACTCTTGCCATTTGAAATATTGTGTGGGGGGATTTTTTCTTCTTTTTTTGATTGCTCTGCTTCTCGTGATTTCATCATAATTCAAGACTTTCTCTGAAAATGAAATGGAATAAAAATGAAACAACATGAACTTTGTTGCCTATTCTCACTGTTTTTCTTTTTGACTTAATTTTGGGTCGGGGTGCTTTAAAGAAACAACCCTATTTTCGAGAAACGGGTTGAAAGGCATTCTAGCTTCCCCAACATAAAGGACTATGACACAAGGCAATCAAAGGAGGAAACAATTAGCATTCTTCAACGTTCAAGATTAATCAGTTCTATTTAGCGGTTATTAGAGGGAGGAAAGAAACCAAATGAGAATAATGAATTCTTGGTCCTTTCACGTTTTACACTTAATGCTGGTACACAGTATTCTTTCCACATTCTACTGCACATTGCCTAGAGAAAGAACCTGCAGATCATCAAAATAATTATCCATTTCCAAATGGTCTAATGACAGTAGATGCAAAGGCGGCTCACTTAAAACCTTCGGTTAACAGTCACGCTGCATCACATGGTGCTAGTTTTAAGTAGGCCACCCATATAGTGCACCCTCTGAAACAACACCTTTCCGCCCAATTTCTGTCATTTGCTCCTTAAGTCAAGGGTAGTACCCTGCGTAACATCTACAAAGGCCTACTTCCAACACCTCCCGAATCTTAATGTGTGAGGATATTGATCACTATAATTTATGATCTTATCTACTGCAGTGGGGTGCCTCCACATTTGGAGCCCCCTCATCTGTCCGCAGTGACTTCTAAAAACATCGCCGGTGTGGGCTGGATGTTTGATCTTGGGGCCAAGTGTTTCCAGACTTTGTTCTCTGGCCTTAAAGGTGAAGAGTCGGGCTGAAGGCCACAGACATCACGGCGGATTTCATCGCAGAGGGCCCCACGCCGGGAGCGGGTGGCCGGGAGCTGGCGGATGCCCCACCTGTCCGTCCATCCTCCCACCCCTCCCCGCCCCCTTGTTTGGCCGTTGGGAGCCCCTCCTTTCAGAAGGCGCCGGGCGGTGGGATTGCGGCTTGCTGCGCGCGCGGCGCACACGGACCCCCGGCAGCAGTTGGGCTCTGCGGGGCGGAAAAGCGGCGGGCGGGAAGCGCGCGGGGAAGACCCCACAGGCTGCAGCGCTCAGGGCCCTCGAGAGCGCGCCCCGTTGGTGCGCGCGCCAAGGCGCGCGGCCTCGCCCCTCCCGCTTGACGCGCGCCCCCGCCAGGTCCGCTCTCTTCCCCCACCCCCCGGCGCGGACGGGGTGGTTCCAGCTCACTCTCCTCCCCCGAGCGGCGGCGGCGGCGGCGGCGGCGGCGGCGGCGGCAGGCGCTGAATGAGAGACGGTGACTGTTCGGGTCGGCGAGCGCTATCCTCGGCGGCGGCGGCGGCGGCCGTGGCGGCGAAGCGTGAGGCCGGCGTTGTCTTTCCATCCTCTAAGGAGACGGCCGCGGCTGCACAGGTCGGTGGGCTCAGGCCGCGGGGCGCTGCGTGGGACGAAGGGTGGGTGCGCGGCGCCCCCCGGGCGACGCGGGGAATGGCGGCGGCTCCGGCGCTGCGGAGTGTGGTTCTTCCTGCCGCGGGCCCCGGGGCTGCTCGCCCTGCGCGCAGGGAGGGGGCTGCGGAGCTCGGGCTGAGGCAGAAGGGCGCTGGGGGGCGCGCCTCCCCCGGCCGCGGGTTCTCAGCGTCGGAGTGGCCTTGGAGTCCCCGCTCGGGGGCGCCGTCCTGAAGCCGGGGTCGCGGCGACCCCCCGAACCCGCCTCCCTCTCCCTCCGGGGTGGCGGAAGCCCCCAGCCTCCGCTCGCGCTGTTCTGGCGCCCAGCTGCGCCTCAGCCTCCCTTCAGGTGAGCCCAAGCCTGGACCTCGGAGCCAGGACCAGCCGAAGCCGGGCCACACCCCCTCCCCTGCCCCGGGCGGCTGCGCCCAGAAGCCTGGCCGCAGAGTTGGCCGCCCGCGAACCCGCGGACTCGCGGTCAGGGTGACCTGTTGCAGAGCGGCCTGCAGCCCGAGCGGCTCCGCCAGCTCCGGCCCCGGAGGGGCTGCGTCCTGAGCTGGCCTTGGGCCGGGCGCGCGGCCCGGGTGTGGGACAGGGGCCGCAGCCCTAGGTCGGCTTGCTGTACAGTAAAGAACCGGGCCACAGAAAAAAAGAGATTCCGAACGTATCTCATCAGACACTTGCAAAGCCGGGAGATCTGTCTGCAAATATCCGGAATTCCATTGCAGTATCGGATTAGGTAGGCTCATAAACACTGTGCTTTGGAGGTGATTTGGAAGAAACGCGAGCCACGAGCGAGGAGCTAATTTCTGGAAAATAGCCGTAAACCTGTGCGAAGCGAATCAGCCACCCTCCCCCAGGCCCCCCCCCACCCTGAAGCTCTTTTCCTGTAGCTGTGTGTTGTGTAGACGCAGGCCAGTTTCAGTGTACGTGGGCGTGTTTGGGAAGAAGCTGCGAGCTGATAGGAGGCACCTAGTACAAATGTTAATTTGTTTAAGCTGGGAGGGGTAAGGGAGGAGGAAGAAAGGGCACTCACTAATGTTAGCTGTGGAGGAGGGGCAATTAAAATACTAAATTTCTGTTTTAAAAAAAAAAAAAAACCACTCTAAGAAATATCTAATGCCCAATGAGTATTTAAGCCCATAAATTGGAAACACACAGGCAGCAGTTAATTGAGCTTTATTGTTTATGCTCCCTGGATTTTTTTTCCCCCCAACGCTTTAGTTGCTATAGAGAGCCTTATTTCCTTACCAGTGTTGCTGAGTTGACTTGGGTATTCTTCTGTATCCACCATCAGATCGACTCTGTTCAAGTTTCTTTGAAGATGAGCATCAGAATTTTAGGAAACTTTTCAGTCCGTGTTTGCAGAGTATTGAAGTTATACAGATCATAGCTTGCTCACTATGAAGCCTGTCCCACTCGAGATAATCATGCTTGTACAAGTGCTATAGAATCTTACGTATAAGTGTATTACTGTTACTGCTAAATGTCTAACTTTAGAATTATGAGGAAACTTCCGATACTGAACATCCAAACAGTGTTAATATCAAAAGCTCTAACTCAAGCTTTGTAGACATAAAGTTTATTTTATAGCTTCAAAGGTCTTTTTAGGTAGATCTAAATATCAAAATGTAAGGGCATTAATGCCATTTGGGATCAGTAATTTCAGTGTATTTATTTTGAACCTAGTTCATTTTTTCTTTTTAAAATCTAGCATAATTTTTAAACGGTAAGATGTGCATTTTTCCCGATTATATCCCACTTTCTTTCTTTCTTTTTTAAGATGGGTTCTCCTTATTTGGCTCAGGCTGATCTCAAACTCCTGAGCTCAAGCGATCCTCCGGCCTCAGGTTCCCAAGTAGCTGGGACTACAGACATGCGCCACTGTGCCTTACTCCACTTTTCATTGAATTAAGGAATTTGACTTTAAGAAATACTTTGGGGCACAACTCTGGAAGTACTATTTAGTTTGCCTAAATTTTTCCAGATTGCAACATAAATTTGAAGATAGCACTTGCATTGTCAAGACACAACATGCTTTTCTAATACTTATTTGTAATACTAGAAAGAATACAGCAAATTTTTCTGAGTGAAAATATAACTAAAAAAATTGGCTTTGTGAGTGAGATACATATGTGAGTAATGCATTTGTGTGTGTGTGTGTGTGTGTGTGTGTGTTTAAATACCTGGTATGAAACTTATGTCATTAGAGTTGAGTGTAGTGAATGATAAATAGGTGAAATTGCCCTGTTGCAATGTAAAACGCTTAAGCTTTTTCCAGAGGCTGAGTTCATTCATTCTACACCTGTTTATTGTAGGGCCAGTTAGTCCCCTAAAGGTTGGGAACACAACAGCGAAAGAGACAGGTCTGTGCCCTGATGGAGCTTAAATGATAAGTGGTTTATATTAAATATGTTAGTTTGAAAGTTTAAGAAGTAGAAACACCTCTGATAACTTTTTGGTTAAGGATATTGTTTTTTTCTTTCTGAAAATAATGGGAATTACTGCCTAGCAAACAAAAGCATTAAGACAGTTGTTTTTAAAATATGCCTGTGTTTATATACTTTGGGTGTCTGGTTCCCAAGTATATCAAAGGTAAATATTCTACCTGAAGTCAGATGATGCATGGTTTACATGTGGTTAGACAGCCTTATTCCTTTGGTTTATGTAGTTAAATGAAATGTTTGCTGAAAATATTCTCTCTTCGCACTTATTTATAAGGAAATCTAAATTCCTTTTTTGGTCTAAAATTTTAAAATACCACCGTTTTTTTTCTTCTGGCCTACTGAGAGTGAACCAATTCCTTGACAATCTGGTTTTTCAGAAAATTTTAAATGACTTTTAAACCTTAAACTATTAATTGTAAAAGTACTGCTTTTTTTTTTCTTGGCTATATAAAATAGACACATAGTTTGGTTTACTTTTAATTTTAATGATACATGGTATTTTGAGAATAAGATATATTAAAATGTATCCTTTTTTTGAATATGAGATTTTTATTGTGTACTAACTATTTGGAATAAAATTGTCACTCTAATCTTAATGCTTTTTTAAAGTTAATTTTCAATGAAGATAATTCAAATATCTTGAAACTACCTTAGCCTGAGTGAGGTTTCTTGGAGAAGAAAAAAGAATGTATTGCATTATTTTATAAATTGTTTCTTTAAATGTGTCTTAAATTTCCTCTTGATCCCTTTTTAGTGAGAGAATAAAGATTGGGTATGATACATTTTACTAATGTGGAATTAATCTGGAATTTTTTAAATTTAATGTCTTGAGCTTTTGATTTAGGAAAATTTTTAACTACATAAAGAAACACTGGAATTTAAAATGTGTTATATTTACCTATTCTATGGAAAGGAAAAGTTTGAATATAAATTTACATAGTCATTTTACTAAGTAGCTAGTTAGGGATATGGGAAGGATCTATGTATACACACAGGTATAGGGATATAGCAGTGTTCACGTGACTTAGCTTGAGGAGGCTTGGCAATTTATTTTATTACAGAGAAACGTTTGGTACTGGGTTTTGAATAATACTTTGCTTTTGAATGCGAGAGACTTGAATCTCTCATCTCGAATTTAATTGATAGTTTTCTGTTATTTCACTTACATGACCCTTTTTTCAGAACAGATTTTCTTTAGTTTAATTTCCTTTTGGTAACTTTCAAGAAAGAGTATATGAAGAGGTAAAATTTTTGAGATGTTTGTATTGCTGAAAATATTTTCCTTCTATCTTGACACCTGGTTGATAATTTGGCAGGGATAGATAAAGAATTCCAAGGTGAAAATCATTTTTTCTCCAAATTTAACAGATTATTATAGTTTTCTAGTTTTTTGTTTGTTTGTTTGTTTTGAGATGGTGTCTCACTCTGTCACCCAGGCTGGAGTGCAGTGGTGCGATCTTGGCTTAGTGCAACCTCTGCCTCCCGGGTTAAAGTGATCCTCCTGCCTCAGCCTCCCAAGTAGCTGGGATCACAAGCATACGCTGCCACACCTGGCTAATTTTTGTGTTTTCAACAGAGACAGGTTTCACCGTGTTGACTACGCTAGTCTCAAACTCCTGACCTCAAGTGATCCGTCCCACCTTGGCCTCTCAGAGTGCTGGGATTCCAGGTGTGAGCCACTGCGCCTGGCCTGATTTTCTAGTTTGAGGTGGTTGCTGAAAAGTCTTATGCCGTTCAAATCTTTATCCTTCATATGTGACCTGGCCTTAAGATCTTTTCTTTGTCATCAGTATGTCTGATATGTCCCTGATATATTATATATCTTGTATGGATTTTACTTTATATCTTCTGCACTGAGCTTAGTGGGCCCTTTCAACTAGCAGTGTCCATGATTCTATGGAGAGGAGAGATGATCTAGTTCAGAGGTCAGCAGACTTTTTCTTTGAAGATTAGGTAGTATTTTAGGCAGTACAATTCATTACTGCTACTCAGCTTTGCTGTTGTCAAATGAAAGTAGGCATAAGCAGTGTGGACTGTGGTTTGCTGACACCTGATCTTCTACAGGCAAAAGGATTAGCCTTTGCTTTACCAGGAGTAGGGAGAGTTATTATAGAAATAGGAGAGAAAACAAAATATATGGATGGGCACATAATGGTAGTAGATTGAGAGCGTTCTCATCTGGGTGTTTCAATTTATCTTTGTATACAGAAGCCAAGCTCATCATCTGAGAGTAAGGAAGAATTGCAAAATGTATTAGAAGTTTGAGAAGGAATAATCCATGACGTAGTCATCTCTCAGAGAGTAAAAAAGTAAAAAGAAGAGGAAAATAGAGTATAATTGTCAGGCAGCAGTAAGGCCTCCCTTGAGATACATGATTCTGAATTTCATGTTCCTGATTTTAATAGGAGTACCTTTAACATATCATCATTAATTGTAATGCCTTACTGTTGGTTTTGATAAATAACCTAATACTCTCGGTAGATATGATTAAATACTTTCTCATATTAGTTTTGTAAGAGA